CACACACACAGGGGTGTCACACACACACAGGTGTCACACACACACACGGGTGTCACACACACAGGTGTCACACACACGGGTGTCACACACAAGTGTCACACACACACACACACACACACACACGTGTCACACACAGGTGACTGGAAGCAGCGATGAGATAAGAAAAGGAACAGTAACAACAATGCCAATAACAGTGTACAAGACAGGAAGCAATTCACAGGTTCTGGGCAAGCTGGTCCCACCCAGCCGCACCCTGTGCCAACTGTTAGAGACAAGACCCCCCTGGGTGGTACAGAATGACCCCGGGGCCCTGGCTGTGCCCCTCCTGCCTGCTGCAAAACTTAACCCCTTCCAGCACACCCGGCCAGCACGGGCTTAGGAAGGGCAGGTCCTGCCTGACCAACCTGATCTTCTGGGACCAGGTGACCCACCCAGTGGGTGAGGGGAAGTCTGTGGATGTGTCTGCCTTGGACACCATCTCCCATGGCACACTCCTGGAAAAGCTGCAGCCACGGCTTGGACAGGGGCACCCTGTGCTGGGTTAAGGGCCCAGGGAGGGGGGGAATGGTGCTACATCCACTTGGCATCTGGGCATTAGTGGTGTCCCCCAGGAATCAGCGTTGGGCCCAGCCCTGTTTAATTCTTTATTGGTGATCTGGATGAGGATATGGAGTCCACCATTAACAAATTGGTGGACAACACCAAGCTGGGGGAGTGTGGATCTGCTGGAGGGCAGGAGGGCTCTGCAGAGGCATCTGGACAGGCTGGATCCATGGGCCGAGACCAACGGGCTGAAGATCAACAAGAACAAGTGCTGGGTCCTGCACTTTGGCCACAACAACCCCCTGCAGCTCCAGGCTGGGGCAGAGGGGCTAGAAAGTGGCCCAGCAGAGAAGGACCGGGGGTGCTGGACATGAGGAATAATTTCTGCACAGAAAGGATGGTTAGATATTGGAATGGGCTGCCCAGGGAGGTGGTGGAGTGACTGTCACAGGTAGGAGTGGGGCTTTAGACAAAGTTTGTTGGAGAAGCCCTCCTCCTGAGTTGAAGAAAGGACCCCCTGGCTTTTTAAACTCCAGAGAGGAGCCTGGGGGTGGCTGGATCCCATCTTAGCCCCAGACTTTGTCAGCAATGTAAGTACAACTTTGTCCCACAGGATTAAAGGTGGCAAACTGGGTATATTTATATAAAAGGAATTATTTATTATGACAGACAAAAGATTAATAACAGTTATTTACTACACAATATAAAAACTAAAACTACTGGTAGTGTGTAGTATAGTGCACTATATCAAGGCAATTATATTAAAGCTAGCAAAAAGAAACAGTCATTAGAGATCAGTGTAACTCACCTTACCAGTGCTTGTGGGCAGATCTCTTTCTCTTAACCTCGAGGAGAATCCTTGAAGGGTTGTCCCCACTACAAGGGAGAAGACTCCACACATACTCCAAGAAGAGTATGTTAGAAGAATCTGATCACATGAAAGTGGACTGGCCTTTTATAGTATAAAGTGATTGACTGTTAGTCCCATGTCTCCAGGTCAGTTTAGCAGCTTATCTGTCAAATCTTTGCCTCACTACCAGGATGTTGATTCGGGGTGATGAGCCAGACTGGTACCTGGAATGCAGGTACCTCTTGCCTTGTGGTATAAAAGCACCCACTGCATATGTGAACATTATTGTCAACCATGTTGAGATTCATCAAGCTCCCAAGTTTTACTATTTTATCTTAACTCATGTAAGTTTAAAAGAGTGTTAGCTATATTATCATCACGCATTACACTTTTACATACAAAATTCTTAGAAAAATCAGTTAGAGTTGGGACTATGAGTATAATATAGAACTAGCTATTGATTCTGTTATTTCAATTTTATGTACTTCTGGAATGGTCAATATCCTCATTTGTTGGAATAGATAGGTATGACACATATATACAATGACTACTAACAAAAAGACATTCTGATTAATAACAATATTACAGCAACATTAAATTCAGAAAGTCTGCTGTGCTTGGGGACCATCCAAACAAGTCATCCCACTAGTGATGTTCTCCACCCCTTTTCACTTGCTCTAGGATACAGTGTATTTTTTCCACATCATGATGGACAGTGATTAATGTTTTTCAATTGTCCTTTTGCAATTGTTGTACCAGTCTGTGTAGATCAGAGTGTTCCAGCAGCTCTTTAACCAGGGTGGTGTCCATTCCAACAGGTCCTGATACCTGACAACACCAGCTTTAGGGAGACCCTTGTAGACAGATACAGACTGGCCCATGAGATGTGTTCTGAGTCCATGCTGAGGCAGCCTCCAGGCTCTTGAAGGATATTGCTCTCCACTGCAGGGTGCCAGGTGTTACCATCAGGGTGATGACCAATACAACCACCACTCTCTCAAATAAAACAATTTATATCTTGGCAGCTGTGTGGGCTGGGTTCATTTCCTCAGTTCAGAATGTGGAAAATATCCATCACGAGCTGATTCTGTGTTGGTGGCCATCAGAATCAGGAGCCAACCCAGGCTAATGGTCCTTGAGTATCCATCGGAGTCACAGGTACAATCCCAGCTTGGGGCAGTTTGACCACAACTGGTTGGCCCACCTTTGGGTCACCCTGAAAGGCTTCAATTTTATCATTTGGAGTTGATTCAAGAGACAGAGGGCTCAAGAAAGCTTGTGAAACAGAATGACCCATTGGTCCATATCAGTTATTTATCTAATATATATATATATTTATTTATATATTTATCTGGTAAACTTTTATCCCATTCAGATTCATGTGGCCTAAGGGAGCCTTTCAGCAAACCATTTCCAGCTCCACAATCCCGTTTGCCTGGGGATAATAAGGTGTGTGGAAAACTTGTTTGATACCTTCCCTCGTGGCCCAGTCTTGTAGAATCACACTGCTGAATTGTGATCCATTGTCACTTTGTACAGTCTGGGACAGGGAGACTGGAAAACCAGCTCCTGAGTCCTAAAATAGTAGCTTTGACATCAGCCCATCTGCTTTAAGCGGCAGTGACAGCCCAGAGACCACTCCCACGCCTGTCAGTGTGTCCTTACAGCCGCTGGATGTCCCCAGAGGCCCAATATAATCAATTCGCCAAGTGGACCACAGTGTTTTGTTGCTTTTGATATGTAAAGGCGGTGCCTGGTCTGGGTGATTTTGTCCCAGTCTTAACTGGCACTGGGACATTGTGTGAGAATGTCTTTACAAATCACTCTGCTCGATGGCCACCCTCTACTTCGTGCTGCAAAAACTAAAGCTTCCTGTCCAGTTTGCCCTAATTTACAGTGTAGCTGCTTGCCCAATCGGTACCAGTGCTGAGGATCTTCCAACAGATCAATTCTTATCGTTCTAATTCTTGTCATCTGATCCAGCTGGTTGTTCCAATAAGTCTGTAAGGCTTGATCCTTGGCACGAGCTTTTACCCATCTCTCTGGACTGGTGGGCATTGAGCCTGTAACAACAACCACTTCCAACCTTCCTTCTTCCAAACCTCTTTTCCATTCACTTG